ACCAGAAGTCACCAGTCAAGCTAAAAGCCACCAGAGAGTTCCAGTAAGCTACAAGCACCACCAGAGTGTCACCAGTCAAGCTACAAGTACCACCAGAGAGTCTCCAGTCAAGCTACAAGCACCACCAGAGTGTCACCAGTCAAGCTACAAGCACCACCAGAGTGTCACCAGTCAAGTTACAAGCACCCAGAGTGTCACCAGTCAAGCTACAAGCACACACAGAGTGTCACCAGTCAAGCTACAGCACCACCAGAGAGTCACCAGTCAAGCTACAAGCACCACCAGAGTGTCACCAGTCAAGCTACAAGCACCACCAGAGTGTCACCAGTCAAGCTACAAGCACCACCAGAGAGTCACCAGTCAAGTTACAAGCACCACCAGAGTGTCACCAGTCAAGCTACAAGCACCACCAGAGTGTCACCAGTCAAGCTACAAATACCACCAGAGAGTCACCAGTCAAGCTACAGGCACCACCAGAGTGTCACCAGTCAAGCTACAAGCACCACCAGAGTGTCACCAGTCAAGCTACAAGCACCACCAGAGTGTCACCAGTCAAGCTACAAGCACCACCAGAGTGTCACCAGTCAAGCTACAAGCAGTAAGGTTCTCACATTAATACATAAACAGAGGTGGGGATACACACAACACGAATAATGATATAAAACATCCATGTTTTGGGTAAATAACAAAATATTCTTCAGTTGAGAGGCAGTGACCGAGTTATCACCCAGTAGATGAGGCAGTGACCGAGTTATCCTCCAGAAGATGAGGCAGTGACCGAGTTATCCTCCAGAAGATGAGGCAGTGACCGAGTTATCACCCAGTAGATGAGGCAGTGACCGAGTTATCACACACAAGTCGTGGACAGCAGCGAGGATAGGGCAAGGTGTGATCCTCAACTCTTAAACACGTGTAATTTGGGTTGTAGATCACGGACTCGCACCTGTGTGGACGAGCAGGTGTCAGTGGAGTGTGCAGAAAAATAACTATTGTTAAATATGAATAAACATTAAAACAGTAATAATTTTATAGCATTTATTATATACAAAGATTGAAAAAAGGAGGTGCAACATATGAAGAGGATCCAGATATCATGGCTGTAACAGAAACCTAGTAGAAGTATATATTCTAGATATGGTGTATCATAAATTTCAGTTTCCTATGTGATAGTTTTGTTTATATATAAGATATTACCACTACGACGCTGATATTGTATTTACAAGACAAGAAGAAATCTCTATTACGGCAAGCGATTGTCTCTCTTCTTGTACCGTAAGTTAATAAATACAACGATGTTAATGGTGTTAAGGAGGATCAGGGAAGAAAAGTCACAGGAAAAAAAGGTCACAGAAGTCACAGGAAAAAAGGTCACAGAAAAAAGAGAAAAAGTAACAAGAAAAAGGTCACAAAAAAAGTCACAATAAGTCACAGAAAAATAAAGCCACAGAAGAAAGTCACAGAAATAAAGTCACAAAGGAAAAGAGTCACAACCTAATCTAAATAAATTGTGACTTTTTTCCTAGCCAAAATTGTGACTTTTTCCGTGACTTTTTTCCTGTGACCTTTTTTTCCAGACACTGTGAAGGATGCTGTGTGACCAAGGTGTCGCGCACATAAGTAGAAACATTGGGTAAGATACTGGTAACAACGTTGTTAGAATTACCAACAATATGTTAGATAATAGGACATATGTGCAGCTAATGTGACATTTTCATTGAGGCAACGTTTCGCCTGACGAAGCTCCTGGAGTGAGCGAAACGTTGCCACAATAAAATGTCTCGTTAGCTGCACTTATGTCCTCTTACCTAACACAAGATACTGGTAGATTAGCAGGCCAATATAATCTTGTGCTTGACATCTCAATGTGTCGAGGAAACTAAACAGACAGAACAGATACATGACTGGGTGTGGGAGGGTGAGTTGGACCTGACTAGCTGGGCCAGTAGGTGACTAGGACCTGCCTAGCTTGGGCCAGTAGGTGACTCGGGCCTGCCTAGCACGTTCTTATGACAACGAGAACTAGGAAGTGTTTCGTGACGAAACATTGCCTAATTAAAGGCCTTAATCTACACATATGTGTTTCTTTCCACAATACAAGTCGGTGTTAACTAGTTCATATGAACATGAGGAGGAGCACTGCAGCGGGCCTACAGGCTCACGGAGGCAGGTCTAACACCCACCCATGCAACTGCCAATCCTCTTGCTGAAGCTATCGTGACTCACGATATGCTAACCTCCCTAAGGTGTATAGAAATATACCTAGTTGGATGAATCTTATCGTAGGCAGCTGGCTTAGTGGTTTACGCAATAGCCTGGAGTTTTACAACAAACTCGCCATGGGTTCAAACTCAATCCGTTCCGTAGTTTGTCGAAACTACTCCTATTTCTCGGTTCAGTGATGCTACTCGGAGGTTTGTTGCAACCTTCTGTTATATCCCTACTTGGTCTAAAAAGGCACGTGCACAAACACTGGGACATATACTGTGATAGAAGCAATCAAGGTCCCAGAACTGAACCGTTTTCTAATAAATATGTTCTAACGTTTACTCATGTGTTTTTAAAATAAAATTGTGGGTCTCTATTATCAAGATTTATACCATATCTTTACTCACCTCTCTTCTTCCAAGACGACTTTGTCTCCATAACTGAGGCAGCGTCGTACTCCACACACACCATCTCCCAGAGCTTCGGTAGATCCCTCCCCAAGTTTCCTCCCTTTCTTCCCCACACACTCCCTACGGGAAGAGTGGGAGAAGCTTGGGGAAGGAGGAATTGGAGGAGGGGAGATAGGAAGGTGAGGAGCAGGCAGTGATGGACGCTTGAAGAGGGGAGGAGGGAGGGAAGAAGCAGTGAGTGAAGGACGGGTAGATTGGGGTGAAGAGGTTAGTTTGTGGTTCGTTTTAGTGGGGAGGTTGTGTGTGAAGGTAGAGTGAAGCTTTGATGTGATGGGGAGGTGATGGGAGATTGTTGGGCTGGGATGGGACGTGAGGGGACGATTACAGGAACAGGTTGGATCGGGATGGGACGTTGTAGGGCGGTACTGAGAGAAGGTATGATGGGTGGTAGCCTTCGTGACGGAGTGGTGGGTTAAGGTATGGAGGGAGGGAGGAAAGCTGGACACTGGACGGGAAGGTGGGAGGCTGGACACAGGAAGCGTGATACTGAGGCTGGAGGTTGGCAGCTGGGAAGGTAAACCACCTGACAGAACAAGAATAAAAAAACAATAGAAATATATACCATATTATTAACGTACAAGAAAAAAAAATTGCTGACTGGACTGGTTTACACTTTGTGTAGAATATGGGTTAATGGGGTTAAAACCTATCGACTACACTATGACAATTAAGGCTGCCCTTAACCTTTTCACCACCAGACAACAATAGTCCCTAAAACAGAGACTGAAAAATAAATCCTGTGTTTGACTACAGATTGCTTATTATTATGGGAAGGTATTGTCTTTTCTAATGAAAACCTCTTATTTTCTAAGCATATTTCGACTGAAGAAAAGAACCATCTTCATTTGCTTAATTTGTATACACGTGTTAATTTTAAGTAGATATGTTTATGTATTGAGAGTAATTAGGGTTATTTAGCGGCAGGTACACAAGTATAATTATCATACATAGTAATATACATTGCAGTAAGATCACAGTAAACAGGTGATATCATAATACGCAAAACAACCACTGTGAAAAAAAGTGAAAATCCAAGCGCTTTCGTGGTCCGTGAGACATCACGAAAACGCTTGGAATTTTACTACTTTTTCACAGTGGTTGTTTTGTACAGTAACATATATGTAAATTACCTAGGACCCCAATGGACCCAATGGAAATAAGTCCCTTTGACTTATTTTTGGGGGTTATTCTAGGTAGTGTAAAGCACCCTTCTGGCAAGACAGTGATGGAGTGAATGATGGTGAAAGTTTTTCTTTTTCGGGCCACCCTGCCTTGGTGGGAATCGGCCAGTGTGTTAATAAAATTAATAATAATTCTAGGTAATCTACACATATGATGCTATGTATGATAATTTATGTAACTGTATTTACGTGTACCTGAATAAACTTACTAGAATAACCCAAAAAGTCAGATAAGTTACATATTTCCATTGGTGTCCTTGGTAAGTTTCTATCGTGAGGCATTTAACTGTATAAACATTAAATGTTATTTGTTTGCAAAACATAGATAGGGAAGCACCACTGATAGTGTTAGGTATCCTGATCCTCTGAGAAGAGAATAAACATACATCAGGGGGTAAAAAATAGACATTCCTTCCCAGAGCTGAGTATTTTTTTTCCTTACCACCTACCACACACTAATAAAATATATATATATATATATATATATATATATATATATATATTATTATATATATATATATATATATATATATATATATATTATATATATATAATATTATAATATGGGTATGGAGGACATTTACTTTAGTTAACGCAAAAATATTTTCATTTTCTGTGGTTTAGTCACGTCTTTTTTTCATTTTCTTTCAACACTTCTGGGGAAACTTGTATATACAGACATAAGTTACATAGCTTATCATACATAGCAGCATACGTGTAGAGAACCTAGGATAACCCCCAAAAAAGTCAAAGTGACTTATTCCCATGGGTTTACATACGTTGAGAAGTGTATTTCTCTCAGTATATATGATAAAAGATTTCTTTAATTCTTTATCAAGGGATTAAAGTTTTTTTTTATCTGGCTAGGAAAAGGTTACATGCAACTTAGTAACTAAGTACATAACTAAGTTTATTTAGGTACAGATCATACATAGTGTCAGTTACCTAGGATAACCCCAAAAATGTCAAAGTGACTTATTTCCATTGGGGGTCTTAATGACCATAATAAAGTCAACAGGCTTAAAACACCATTAATCAACCAACCATCTAATATTGACTATGTGATATCAAACAGTGGCTTTACGAAAATATATAAAACCATTTATAAACATTATCTCTCAGTCCACAGCAGGATTCTGCATCAGAGTACACAGTACTGTATACTCTGATGCAGAGTTTGCAGGTTCATATCGTGCTGTGGACTGAGAAATAATGTTTTATATATAATTTCGCCTGTTTGTGAATTAAGCATAAAGCCCTTTATTGACTTTACAGTTCCCATTTCCGAGATCTAGAGAGATGTATAAATACAGATACTATTGAACAGAATAATGATGGGATTTACACTCTAAAACACGAAGTCAACTGGAGGATTTAAGATACTAAAGATAAAGCCCGATTTTGGGGCTTTATGATAAATTAAAAAAACGTAATAGTCGTTAGGTCTGTTGTGTAACTTTGTGAAAAAATATATGTGAATTGACTAAATCATTGCAAACTTCTAATTGTTTATTTTGAATTTGGTTTCCATTTTCAGATTTGGGAATAGTCGAATATTGAAAATGTGGTGCAGAGTTCTTCACTTTGCGCCTTGTATAGTGGTAGTTTTGTTCAACGTCTTTACTTGAAATAACTTCACTAAGAGCGAGAAATTCTTTAAAATTTCTTAATCTGTTAATGCGTTTGAGTCGTAGGGATCGTAAGACTTTCAAGAGTCACAAAATGGGTGTTATCTACAACCTCTGATATAATAACTATCTATAATAATCAATATACTTATTTTTTAATGGGAACTATATTAAACCCTCTGCTGACTTCACGGTAAACAGCGAGTAAATAATATATATTTCCGTAGTTTTTTCCCGGCGCAGTCAGATGTCTCACCTGTAGGTTTCTCCTTAACCCATGGTTTCTTCAGAAGGGGTTTCACTTTAGCGACAGGCTGGGTTTCTGGAGTCCCATCTACCCTCACCACTTCCACCATCACTACCATGGACGCCACACACCACCACACACAGTTCCCTATCTGTGGAAAACAAAAGGGAATGACATAACAATATAAAGGGCATTATTGTTATAAAAATTGACTGGTTAGACCCGACGAATTGTTTACTAGGGCACTTAAAGAGTGCATATGTTTTCCTGGCGCTGGAGTGAAGGATATCGTTAAGAGATTAAGAAGCATCATGCTGGTAATGGGAACAACCTTATTATTTGCCACAGCACTGGAAGAAATGGTGCTGGCAAGGGAAGAAGAGATGACCTTCCTTTGTAGGTACAGGACGACGAAAGACATTGTAAGGAAGAAGGGAGAGATCCCTGTTTTCTAAGTTTATTTAGGCAGAGGTACACATAAGTACAAGTAACATACGTAGTGTAAATTATCAAGGATAAGCCAAAAAAGTCACAATAACTTACTTCCATTGGGGTTCTTGGGATTTTGTCACTAGATGGAGTTGGAAACGAATGGCTGTCCAGAGCAGCCGTTGTTAATTGCTGCCCTGACTAGCACAGCAAGGACATTGCAGTATCATCTATTGATAATTTATTGGTAATGACAAGGTCTAAGAAACCTGGAGGAGGGAGTGCTTCTTAAATATATATAATGGCTAAAATGTTATAAAATTTTTAAACTATGTGTATGTGTATAGGAAAGGGACTTTATGGAGGTCAGGTATTTGGAGACAAGGAAGCACTTGAGAGAGAGCTACTGCAAGCTAGTTCCTCAGCGGGTATCTTATGGTCCACTAAGCCGGCGCCACTGTGAAATTCAACCCCATGGTCTCCGCCCGATTTACTGCTGCTATTGATAGCCAATGGGAAGTGTGTATTGACTGCCGAGTAGAAGAGAGAACCAGACCAGACGGAGCAGCCTAAAGCCATAGGAAGGCTGCCCGCGGCTTGACGTCCTTCTTGCCCATTACTCAAATATATAGGCAATAGTGGTATATAGGAAGGACTTGGAAGTCTACAGAGAACGAAGGAGACGGATAGCCTCTGGTGTGACTACCTATGCGAAATAAGTCACGTTGTCTGACCTTTTTTTAGGGACTATCCTAGGTAACTGGCACAGGTTACTATGTATGATTATTTATGTAATTGTATTTATGTGTATCTGCCTAACACTTACTACTCTCTCGGGTTAGTCCCGAACTGTTCAGCGAAGTCCCGTAGCTCGATCGCTAGCGCACTCGGCTCACACACTGAGGTTCGGAGTTCGAATCTCCGGTATGGCTGGAAAACATTAAGGACGTGTTTCCATAAGACACCTGCTGTCCCTGTTCACCCATCAGTATAAAATGGGTACCTGGGTGTTAGTGGACTGGTGTGGGTCGCATCCTGGGACAAAACTGACCTAACTTGCCCGAAATACTCAGCATAACAAGCGGCTTTCTTTATAGCAGTATGTCACTGATGTCAGTTATGGTCTGTATACCTTGTACATGTACTTGCAGTAATAAAAATTATTATTATTATCATCAACAACGATTGTGGCCTGACCAGAACACAGAAGTAGTTAAATAAATTTTGGTGAAACAAAAGCAGTTCCCGAGGGGAAATAATAATAATAATAATAATAATAATAATAATAATAATAATAATAATAATAATAAGAGTACTTTGACTATTTTGCAAATGGAAAAAAAAAATAATTTGCCTACCATGACAAGCGAGGAAGATGGCTTCGGGGGTCACTAATGAATGATGCTTGGCAGTCTCTGAAGATTATACTGAGGTTAACAAAGGTCAAAGCTGACGTCAGGTCATCTCACTCTCATCTGCTGACCTGTACAAGTCACCTGAGGGTACAAAAGTCAAGCTATAGCATAGAAGATTCTGTACACGTTTTAAAACAGTAGTATTTCTTATAGAGATCTAAAAAAATATATATAGAAAACCAGCCTCAGAGTGACCAGGACGTGGAACGACTTCGACAGTGAAGTGGTCAAGACAGAATCCATACATAGCTTTAAGAATAGGTATAACTGGGCTCACGATGCCTAGAGAACCCAGTACCGGCCAGAAGCTAATGCTATACTTATAACTGGTTGATAATAGACAATTATCTATTTACAATATATATATATATAACGGATGTTTAATAGATAAGGTTCTCTATATAAATCAACGGTAAATAATTTCTCCCTTTTTTTGCTCCAAACTTTATTCTTTTAACTACGAAAACAAACAAAATCTTTCTCAATGTTACCCTTAAGAGGATAATAGCCCAAAATCTCCTAGTTCTAAAACTATATCTAGTTTATTTGACTGGTACAAAAGTGTATGCAAAAATGAACAAGAATAATACTAGCCACTTAGAAAGAGCACCGCTGGAATTCTGTAACTTTGATGACTTTCAGTAGTTTGAGACTGTTATCATTAGGGGTATACTGGCACCTTCAGGGGTATACTGGCACCTTCAGGGGTATACTGGCACCTTCAGGGGTATACTGGCACCTTCAGGGGTATACTGGCACCTTCAGGAGTATGCTGGCACTTTCAGGAGTACACCACTTTACAAGACCACCTCCAGTCAGTATGCTGGTGTGGTGACGACTGACAAATGCGAATGTCAACAGAGTGGTGGGTAGAAGTGAGAGTGACTGTGTGTGTGTGTGTGTGTGTGTGTGTGTGTGTGTGTGTGTGTGGTGTGTGTGCGCACTCAACTGTGGTTGCAGGGATCGAGTCATAGCTCCCGGTCCCGCCTCTTCATTGGTCACTACTAGGTCCACTCTCTCCCAGCTCCATGAGCTATATCATACCTCTTGTGTGTGTGTGTGTGTGTGTGTGTGTGTGTGTGTGTGTGGTGTGTGTGTGTGTGTTTGTGTGTGTGTGCGCTCACCTAATTGTACTCGCCTAATTGTGGTTGCAGGGGTCGATACTCAGCTCCTGGCCCGCCTCTTCACTGATCGCTACTGGGTCCTCTCTCTGCTTCCAGAGCTTTGTCATACCTCTTCTTAAAACTATGTATGGTTCCTGCCTCCACTACTTCACTTGCTAGGTTATTCCACTTGCTGACAACTCTGACTGAAGAAATAATTCCTAACGTCCCTGTGACTCTTCTGAGTCTTCAGCTTCCAGTTGTGACCCCTTGTCCCTGTGTCCCCTCTCTGGAACATCCTATCTCTGTCCACCTTGTCTATTCCCCGCAGTATCTTGTATGTCGTTATCATGTCTCCCCTGACCCTTCTGTCCTCCAGTGTCGCCAGTCCGATTTCCCTTAACCTTTCCTCGTACGACATTCCCTTGAGCTCTGGGACTAGCCTTGTTGCAAACCTTTGTACTTTCTCTAACTTTTTTGACGTGCTTGACCAGGTGTGGGTTCCAGACTGGTGCTGCATACTCCAGTATGGGCCTAACATACACAGTGTACAGTGTCTTGAACGATTCCTTATTAAGGTATCGGAACGCTATTCTCAGGTTTGCCAGGCGCCCGTATGCTGCAGCAGTTATTTGGTTTATGTGTGCCCCCGGTGATGTGCTCGGTGTTATGGTCACCCCAAGGTCTTTCTCCCTGAGTGAGGTCTGTAGTCCTTGTCCACCTAGCCTATACTCTGTCTGCGGTCTTCTTTGCCCCTCCCCAATCTTCATGACTTTGCATTTGGCAGGATTGAATTCGAGAAGCCAGTTACTGGACCACATGTCCAGCCTGTCCAGGTCTCTTTGCAGTCCTGCCTCATCCTCGTCCGATTTAATTCTTCTCATCAACTTCACGCCATCTGCGAACAGGGACACTTCAGAGTCTATTCCTTCCATCATGTCGTTCACATATATCAAAAATAGCACTGATCCTAGAACTGACCCCTGTGGGACCCCGCTCGTAACAGGCGCCCACTGTGATACCTCTTCACGTACCATCACTCGTTGCTGCCTCCCTGTCAGGTATTCCGTTATCCATTGCAGTGCCCTCCCTTTTACATGTGCCTGATCCTCCAGCTTCTACACTAATCTCTTGTGGGGAACTGTGTCAAAGGCCTTCCTGCAGTCTAGGAAAACGCAATCTACCCACCCTCTTCTCTCGTGTCTTACTTCTGTTTACCTTGTCATATAACTCCAGGAGGTTTGTGATACAAGATTTGCCTTCCATGAACCCATGCTGGTTTTCATTTATAATCTTGTTCCTTTCCAGGTGTTCGACCACTCTCCTCCTGATAATCTTCTCCATGACTTTGCACACAATACATGTCAGACACAGGTCTGTAGTTTAGTGCCTCGTTTCTGTTTCCTTTCTTAAATATGGGGACTACATTAGCTGTCTTCCATTTCTCAGGTAGTTGCCCAGTTTCAAGGGATGTGTTAAAGATTGTGGTTAGAGGCACTCACAGCATCTCTGCTCCTTCTCTAAGGACCCATGGGGAGATGTTGTCCGGTCCCATCGCCTTTGAGGTGTCAAGGTCACTTAAGAGCTTCTTCACTCCTCCTCAGTTGTTCGTTTGTCATCCAACACTTGTTGGTATATCCATCTTGATGTTCCCTCTGTGCTGTCTTCCCACTGCCCTTCCTGTCCTACTGTAAAAGCTTCCTTAATTATCCTGTTAGCTCCTCACATACCTCCTGATCCTTCTTGTGAGTTCTCACCTTCTGTCCTTAATCTGTACCACTGGTCTTTGACTGTTGTCTTCTACTGTTGTGTATTACAACAGTTTCGGGTTTCAGTCTTGTTTCTCAATGCTATGTCATTTTCATACTTGGCGCTGGGCTCCCTCCTTACTGTGCATATTTTTTCCTGGCTCTGGCGACTGATCTCCCTATTTTGTGTGTTCTCAGCTTCTGTACTTTTTCCATTTCCTCTATTGCACTTTGTTTTTTGCTCCTTACACCATCGGGTAAACCAGGGGCTCATTCTGGTCTTCCCGTTGTTACTGTTGCCCATGGGAATAAAACCTTTCCACTGCCTCCTTGCTTTTTGTTGTTACATATTCCATTCATTTCTTTTATACTGGGCTTTACTGCCAAGTTCTCTGTCCCACCCTGGACCTTCCACTGGAAGTTCTTTCAAACCCTATGTAGTCCCTCTTTTATAGTCAGGCTTTTCCCATTAACTCTCCTGTTATTCTCTCACTTGCAGCTCTATGTATTCAAAGCACTGACCACGTGGTCGCTAGCTCCTAGGGGACTCTCTACTTGATGTCCTCAATGTTGAGCTGCCCAGGGTGAACACAAGGTCCAATCTTGCTGGTTCATCCTCCCCTCTCACTCTGGTTGTGTCCTTAACATTTGGTGCATGAGGTTTTCCAGCACCACGTCCAACATCCTGGCTCTCATGTTTCGGGACCCCCTGTGCTCCAGGTTTTCCCAGTCAATCTCCTTGGTTGAAATCCCCCATAACAGCAACTTTGCTCTGTGGAGTGAGCTCTTCTTGCCACCTCAGCTAGTGCGTCCTCATTGCTCTGTTGCTCTCTCATTATTCCTCTCTTGGCCTCCTGCAGTTCTGGTATTGCTGGATTATACATTTCACTGAATGAGCACTTTGTGTTCCCCAGACTGAAGTGTACCTGCTATGTTGTCTCTTTCTCCGGTCTCATCTATGCCTTCCATTTGTCTCGGAAATTCCATCTGTTTTTTACGAGCAGAGAAACCCCACCTCCCCCCCATGCCCCTTTATCTTTCCTCTGATCTGGTATTGGGGGGAAGATTGCATTGTTATTGTCTCCGTGAGTTTTTCTGTAATGCTATGATGTCTGGGACTTCTCTTCGATTCTTCCTTGCATTCCTCATGTTATTCGTTAATACATCTGCTTTGTGTACCAAACTTCAACTTTGTTCTAATACTGTAATGTGGTGCGAGGGGGTGGAAACAGAGGGATCGGTGTGTGATGGTTGGTTTGGATTTGTTCAGTAGCCTTGGGGGTGTCGTGGGCTGGAGTCCTTCTGCAGGTGTTTCTGGGGGGTGTGCTTGTCCTTCCATTTGATCTGGGTTGTTTGCTCTCCTTTTTTCATTTCCTCCCATTTCTCCTTTCGTTTTTGAATATTCTTTCATCGTCTTCCTCTCGTCGTGTGTTTCTGTCTCGATCGAGGTAGACACACTCGGAACTCCTGCTTGCCTCTCAGCCGTGCTTTCTCCTGCCCCAAAAGGACATGGTCGGGTTGATTCTGCCTTGAAATTACTTTGAGAGGCCGATTCCTTTTTCTTTGTGACCACCCAATTCTCCGAAAATTGCCACCTGGGTCATGTCCCCTCGCCTATCACCTTCCTGATATCTTCAATCGCTTTTTTCCTCAGCTTTCTTTCGTCATAAGTTTCCCCTTAGCTTCGTCTAGCCCATTGACAAACACGGATCTTCCCTTTCCACACTCCCACTGTGACTCCCATTGCATCCTCTGATGTGTTCTTTAGTTCCTTTCCGTGGAGTGTTCCTTCTTTCAGTCCCTTCCTAGTTATGGCCTATGTTCTTGGTTTGTCCTTCCTGCGCACTGTTCCCTGGCCCACACAGTATCTGGTAGGTCCTTGCACATATTTGTTCCTTTAATGTCTTTCCAACCTCTTTCTGTCCTAGTGTGCTCCCTGTCTTGTTTTGGCCACCATGTTGGTTTGGACAGGACTCTACATACGTTTAGTTTCCATGCTTCCTTCAGAACTGTGTGTCTGTGGTTTTTGCATGTGCTTTAACGATGCTACTTCTGTTAATATCTGTGTCTGTGCTGTTTCAGAATGTCTCAGCTTCTCTTCTAATCTCTCTATCTTGATTTCTGCTGCTGTGGCCTGTTGTTCACTTCTGCATTCTGCTGCAACCTCTCTTCCTTATTCTTTCCAGCTATCTAGTCTTCTTCCCCAGTCTTCCTCCATTTTTTGAGCTCT